AATGGACAGTTTTCTTCCTTCATTTACAAATAGGTCTAGCATACCAAGTCGATATTTAATTAACTGTTTTCTTAAGTTTTCCGTAGTGAGTACTGATAAATATATTTCTGGTTGAAGTAAAGTCTTGAACGTTTTGTAATATTCATAACGTGAACTATCCTCTAAAGTGGAGTGCCATTCTTGGTAGAACATATTTATAGACCTATTCCGAAATTCATTAAGAAACATATTTACATTTCCAACTGACTGACCAAAACCATGCGAAACTAAAAGATTTCTTATGTCCAAGTATTATTTCCTATGTTATCTAAATGTAGAAGCATGTTATAAGCTAGTTTGGGGAGACGTTGTTCATGCATATGAAGAATTTTAAACCAGTATTTTAAACATCTGATCTGAGAGTTAATATATAAAGGGTAGCTACCACATTCACCATAAACCATGCAATTTGGTGTAGAAGATCCGACACAGAGAAACTTTTTACATGCTAATAAGTGAACCTTCTCTAAACATTAAGAACGTTGAAATCCCCATACTTCAGAACCATACAATAAAATTGGTATTGATAATTTCCATTCTTTCGTGTATGTACTTAAAATATTTAATTGCCTTTGAAGACCAACAACAGTATCTGACACTAGAATGACATCATCTGCGAAAAGTAACATTAATATTTCTATCAAATCTGGAAACATTTGGATACCATGTGAATGAAAATGGCCCAAAAGACAATAAAAAAAATATGTTAAATTATCCCCACAACGAACACATGATCTCACATTAGAATAAATTGATTTTAGAATAGTAAACATTTTCTATAAACCAGCTTTTCGTAGACATGTCCATAGCTTAGAGCAATTGACAGAATCAAAAGCTTTTTTAAAATCTACAAATGCAACATACAGTAAATGCTTACGCCGTGACAAGGTTTTTTGAATAAGTGCATATAGTGTAAATACATGATCTACGGTGGAATAACTTTTTCTGAAACCAGCTTGAAATTCAGGAATCTTATCACGCATGGTCACCCATTTTGAAATTCTATTGTTTAATATTGTAGTAAATACTTTTCCTAAAATGCTCATTAATGAAATACCTCTATAGTTATCTTGGTCACTCCTGTCTCATATTGTATGCAGGGGGATTATTATAGAACATGACCAATTGCTGGGGACAACTCCATTTTCAAATAGCTTATTGAAACATTTACAAAGAAAAGGCATAACTTCATAACTTAGAACACTTCAACATTTCGATAACTACATCATCAGGACCAGCTGCTTTTCCCTTCTTGAGGTGATTTATCGCATCTAATATTTCGTTTTCAACAATGGGTGAATCTAGCAGAACTTCATCAACATCTGTATAGCATTCACTAAAATAATTTTGCATATCATCAGTTGCCATAGTGAATATTGCATCATTTGAAAAAAACCTTCTTAAAATGACTAAGCCACTGCGACTTTGTTATGTTATCTGTAGCAGAAGATCTATTCTTAAGAGATCGTACTTGTTTCCGGAACGCAGAAAGGTTGTTAATAGACTTTTTCAGTTTGTCTTGTCAATGTCAACATATCGAATTTGTATTTCCGACAGCAACTTTTATATTTATTCCTACTTTCGCAAGACTAGTACGGGTTGTCCCTAATCTTCGTAGTGCTTTGCGGGCGTTACACCTTGCAATTCTACATCCAATATTAAAAGTTTTAGTTTTATCCATGTTCAGTTTTAATTCTTTTCTCACACAAGCTGCTGAAGATAGCATAATTTCAACAAAGTCATCAATTGCCCTCTCAATATTATTATCAAGTTTATCTAGAAGTAACTGTTTAAAATACGTTATACTTTCTTGTAGTTCGTCATTCTATATTAGTTTCTTCTAAGTGACACCCTCATATTTTAATTTGGTATGTGTTTGATTCATATGAAGGAACTTACAGGTCAATTCCAAGGGTAAATGATCAGATTCTAGACGATCGCCAGTATTCAACATCTTAATATAATCGAAGAAATCGGGGGAACATATAAAATAATCATTAACGCTCGCACCGTGGTTTCCACAATAGGTAAATTCTCCAAGGGTATCCCCTTACACTCTCCCATTGACAATGAAAAACTGAAATGTATACAACATATCTAGCAGCATCTGACCAAATTTATTAATAATGGTGTCATGGGATTTCCGATCTCCAACACATTCGTTTCATCTTCTGGCAATGAACATTTACAATGAACAAAATCGTTTTGTATATCGACTAGAGGATTGTTTTGTTGACCACTACGAGCATTCATATCTCCACAGACTACACTGATAGAATCTTTAAGCTGCGACTGATTATCTAACATAAACTCTTCAAGATGATTCAATACTACAGTTTGAGACCACATGGTTATAATACGGCGAACCAGCTGGTGGTATGTATGTACATAGCAAGTTTACGTTTTTGTCAATTGTAAGTAACACTTTTGATATGTTCAAGCACAGGAGATTATCTTCATCTGATTTAATTAACTTACAAATTTACTGACGGATTGATGGACAAATACACAAATACCACCTGACAGCCGTCCGTAGTCAGATAATTTTATTGCTGGACTATAATAAATACCATAACCAACTAACCAGTTATTATCAAAACTACAGTCGACAAAAGTTTCCACAAGACATGCTATTTTCAATTGTTGTAGTTATGATATAAAATCAGCATCATCAATTTTGCTTCTAAGTCCATTAATATTCCAACTTAGAAAGGTGAATGGTTCGCTCAGACAATCAGCGTTTAACGTAACACCGGTGTTGAAAGTGTTAGGATTTTGTGAAAAACTATCCGGGCCTCGGCCAATATCCTAGCTGATAGAAGCATGTGACACTGTTTTTCCATCCGGTTTTCTATGAAAAGATCGGCTTTCTCGTGTCGTGTTTGAACTGTTAAACGTTGTCGATGTTGTTTCCACGGTGCGGGTTTTTGTTACCAAACCACCGTCTTTGATATACCCGAAAGTGTTGGTTCCCTTGAGTGCCTGAAACTGTTGACGCTGGCGTAACGTTAGGTCACTAGAAATTCCAAGTCCCCCTTCCTTGAAAGTGGGTCCGCTTTCAAGGTACGAACTTTGTCGTCAGACGAATGTAGCTTAGCAATCATTGGGCGAGGGCGATTTGCATTTACACGTTTAACGCCAAGTCTGTGCGCACGTATTATGTCCAATGGTTGCCACGTTTTGAATTAAGCATGTCCATTGAGGACAGATAACACAGTATCTTTACATGCCATTGATTTTTCATCGCCTGCAGCTTCCAGTATTCCTTGGATGATGATATTATATCGTCTGCTATAGGACTCAAGTCTATCTAGTTCGATATCAATTTTTGACATCTGATCAAACACAGTATCCACCTTGCCTGAAAGTGCATCAATGTCATCATACATTATATTATGGTTCTGTTTCATAGTGTTTAGATCACAATGTAATTCTGTAACAGATTCCTCCAGTTTTTCACATTTAGAACTGATAGTGTGGATGTCGTTCTTTAGTTCTAAAATTTGTGTGCTTAAATCTGCTTTGACGTTTCGTATCTCAGATTTCATGCTCCCTATTTCTGCCAGTATTTTCTCCTGTACTTCTTGGAGAGTTATTGGGCCTGGATTTGTCTCTACATCCTTAGAGCACAGTAGGAGTTGTGTAATGACTCCCACGGGAATCGCGATACCCCCAAGGAAACACTTTTCACGTGCAGGTGAGGCAAGATTCGGTGACAAAACTAGGTCACAACTCGGGTTGCTGACGTCACATGAGACACAAAAGAATGTAGTTTCTTTCGCCGTAAAGTGATCAAATATCAGATTTAAAAATACATATTGATTACTGATCAGTAATGCGGACAACGAAAGGTGCGCAGTCAGCAGCAAAGTGCATATAATAATGCGATACGGCATATCTGAGTTATCATGATATGTTGTGTATGGCGTGTACCTATCAACGTGGCTGACTTGGCGGGTCCCGGGTGGATGACAAAAGGTTCCGATTCTAGCTCTGTATGTTGCTAGATCCTCCATGTTTTGTTCATAACGTATCCACAGAGTGTTCACACATTACAAATGCCCTTTTCAGGTTGCCAGATTGCCTTGATTTTGATATTTAAAGCAAATTCTCGGAGATAATAGGAATGTTGGGGGTGTTCTCCAAAGGGACGTAACTCTATATCATACGAGTTTTTAAAATCTTTTTATGTATTTTCTAAGTCTAGTTATTGTACTGTCCTTCATTAGCAGTTTTTTATATAAGTTTCAATGTATTTATTATATTTGCTTGGATAGTCACGATAGGGCTGAAATATAAACTTTTAACTTACTTACTTGAATGCTTCTGAAATTGAGGTATCGCTGTTGTGAGTGTATCCCCATAGTAGATGTTGTCTTGATGTTAATCAGGTGAATGTTAACGGTTGTTTTACTGCTGAACGTTATCTTACTCCATCGAATTAATGACGATGAGGCAGAATACTGTGATAATTCCAAAAGTCAAATACATGTAATTGCAGTCAATGGTGTGTGCACTATTGCTGTGAATAGAAATTATCTTGTTCATTGGCCCCTCAATACTTTATGTGTTTTACCCTCTTCCTTTTACATTGGAAACTCCAATGCAGAACGACAGACTAGTGTGATGAGCAGCCTCCTATAAATTGCCATTGTCTATAATGCCCGGCTCATCTGACACTATGGCGGATTATAAACTCATGTGTCATCAACGACCTTTGTGAACGGGAGCGAGACAAATTTGTTGTTGTTTCCCATCATGTATGACTATTATTATTTTTCGATATTTTTTATTTTGTCAAAACAGAAACTAAAACAGCATTTATTAACAAGTTCAGTTCGAAGAGGTTAGCTTGCTAGATACATTGTAAGATGACAGCATCAAAGACTTTGTCATTGTATATTCAAATCTTATGAGCTATAAAACTAAGAATGTTAACAGGTGAATCTCACTCATTATAGGTAAAGGTGTTGCTGCTGAAAGACAGCCAGAAAAAAGCCTACATTCTTTTCAACGGTATAGGCTCCACCAAGACCAGCTGGTTCTCCCGATCCCGAGTCATCAACTCCACGTGGTCGGATCTTAAGACAGCCCCATCAAACATCTTTAGTATTGCAGGGTAAGGCCACTTCAGATGCTGATGTGCTGGTTGAAGCTTAGGATGGATGGGAGGAATGCAGGTACATTGATTTGTGATTTGAATGAATTGCTTCCAGTAGTGGAACTCGGAAATAGCTTTGATTTATTTTTATTGTATGAAGCTTAGTATGGAATAGAAGAATGTACATACAATGATTTGTCATTATAATGAATTGCTTCTTCTAAGGAGAGTAAGAGATAGAGTATAAGTAAGTTGTAAAGGGCTTTGATTTGTTCGTTTCAAAATTCGGGTTTCCGAAGCTCTTGTATTTATTAAACAGTCATCAAGTCCTCAACAGGCGTTTCTTCATGAGTTCTATCTATAACGGCTGCGCTGGCGACTACTTTTGGATGGACATCATTGACAACAATCAGGGCATCATGGGATGTGCATGGGATAAAACAACTAGGTTTCCGAAGATCATCTATTCCATAAAGTCCACGGCAGCCAAAACAGACAGCAAATTACACAGTGAGCATCGTCTTAAGTTCTAATTACATGAAGCAGGTTTGTAAATAATCTGGACCAGACAATCCAGTGATTGACATTAATATCGATCTACATGGATGGGATACTACGATATGCTTAAAAAAAATCATCCAGCCTGACCACTCGATTCATTAATCGCCTTTTACGACAACATAGGTTGCTGTTGACCAATCTTAAGCCGTATCTTCATGTGTAATCAAGTAAGTTTGACGGCATTAATTGTAACCTGAGTGTTTGTTGTTTAACGCTGCACAGCAATATTCTAGGTATATAACGGCGGTCTGTAAATAATCGATTGTAAATAATAAAGTGTCTGGACCAGTCGATCCAGTGAATGACATCATGAGCATCGATCTAAGCATGTGGGATACGATGACATACATCAACCAAGTCAACAAGCCTAACGGCCTGATCTCGTTAGTCTCCCCTTACGGCAAGCATAGTCGCTTCTTACGGCAAGCATGGGTAAGATAATTTTAATCCGGATCTTCAATCGGAGTGAAGGCTGCGTCTATGTTTCCTTCCTCCTGAAGACTGAGCATATAATTTGTACTTCAGATTTCGAGTATGCTGACGGCATGGCGGTTCTCGTGAAGCTTGGACAGTAAAAGAAGACGTGTTCAATGTATTGTAAGAACCTTGAATAAATCCAGCGTCAAAGGAAAACTGAATACTTTATATTTTCAAACGACTGATATTTCATCAGCAACAGTAGAAGTGTAGGTGCGTTATGGTGGGGTTAAGCTGAACCAGACCAACTCATTCCTCAATTAGGAGATAAACATACTGTGTTTTCAACGTAGAGCTAGGTTACTTGTAGATTTAACCGCGCTAAACTGAATTTAGGTAACCTAGCTCTACATTGAAAACACAGTACCTTTATCTCCATTCTACCATGACTAAATAAAACTCTTGGTGTTAGCAAATATACTGAGTGAAGCAGCATTGGTTTGAGTCCAATGTTTTGAGTGGGTTATCGATCTGAATTACGGAATCACCAAACAAAATATGGCGCTGTACATACTCCAACAGTTTGTTTACACCGTAATACTTCACTCGAACATATGACAGAAAATGAAAGCATATAAGCAAGGCAACTTGGTAAGCTGACTGAGGTGGGCATCCCTAGAGAAAACAAAGCAAGCTATAGTTCTATAAGCAGCATCGTGTGACGACAGCTGACAACAACCTCATGCAGCCAAGACATCACAGACATCAACAGGTGTATTGTGGTTGGTCAAGGGGAACTAGTCGTCCCAGACCAACTCTCCCCTCAATGACATTCTCTCCCCCCCCCCCCCCCCCCCCAAGATGTTTTCTGCAGATTTTGAGTATGCGCTGAATTCTGGCATAATAATATTATTTACAACTGTTTAAAGCACGGGCTGTAAGCCACCAGCAACCAAAGCTAGTCCACCTAGGATGTACGGTGCCTCTGCTTCCTGCACGATACCCCAGCAGGATTTACGTCATCGATTTAGCTACTAGTGACTGTACACAATACTAGCAATATTTCACAAATACTTAAGAATGAGTTGGCTTAAACCACGGGTTGATGATAGTTACATGGATTATGATAGAATTACATGTCACACAGGGGAACAATCATTTTACGGTACTTTAACCCCCTGGACAGAGCCTTCAATAATCTTCAAGGATCTAGCAACATTAAAATACACACAAATTAGTTAAACATGTATTTAAAACTTATGATACAGATCAATGTCTTTCAAGTTGCTAAAGATGAAATGCCCGCTTACACGCGAATATAGGTTTTTTAGATGCTGTTTGTAAATATTCTTTTACGGTGAATCTTTCATCACAAGAATTACACAACTTAGGCGATATGGCTGCAATATTGACGATGCGATGTAAAATTTTAACCCACTCACTTACTTTTAAACATATATGCGTGGGCCAAAACGACTTAGAATAAAAAACGTGAAGCATTCGTTACGAAGCATGAATCAGAAACCGTTTTGCTATCGTCTTATGAACCTTTGCACATGTATCAAAAACATGTCGAACTGGTGCCTTTTGACGATTCCTTGGCAACAAGAAGGACTTAACCCAAATGTAGGTTGCTTTCATGTTGAAAAGTTTATTTCTGGATCATATAACCGTCTTTTAAATATACGACGTATTATCCATGAAACTGTATGAAACAGACTACTGAAATTGTTATGTTATGTTGGATTTAATTGAGATATTTAACCCTTGACAAAGGAATTTGTATAAAGTATATGGGGGATGGTAAAAGAAACCACAATTTACAAGTGGCGCGCGAACCAGCCTACTTCCCCGCAGTGGGCTAAATATTGTGTAGTGATTATTGCAATGATGAATGCATTGAGGGATGTGTCCCAGGGTATCAAGGCCCGGGGTGTGGCAAGCCGTGTTACAACCCACGAGGTACCTGTACAGCATGTCCAGGTGGGTGTGATGGAGCATATTGTCAGCTGGGCTCCTCCTGCTATTCTGGATGTGAGGACTCCTACTACGGGACTGATTGTAAGAAGTGTTCAAGTGGATGTACGACATGCAACAGGAAAACAGGAACATGTGATGAATGGGGTAGGTATTAATTCTCGATTTGTGGACTCCTACTACGGGACTGCGGTAAGACTTCACATTCATGTAAAACCTGTCACTGGCTGAAAGGGACATGTTGCTATTGTCTTGCACCATATGCTGGAAAAAGCATATATATTATTTCTAACATATTTTTGATTAATGTGGTAGGTTAAATCCAGTTAATGACCGTCTAAAGTCATTGACTCGAAAGAGAACATCGCACTGTAAACTAATTGTATATAAAAAAAAATAATTGATATATATTTTAAGCAGTTGCATAAAAATGGTCCTTTCCCTTTGTTTCAGTGGTTGAAGCAATAGAAATAAATTTAGTTTGGTGTTACATAATCAAATGCATGTATACATCCCTTTTCTTTGTGTTTCAGCTGTCGCAGTAATTGATATGAACTTAAAAGGGATGAAAAACATAACGGTTATTATTAATAAGGCCAATTACAAAAGGTTCCAGTGTCCTTGTCAAGACTGAGTTAAAACATTGATAACAGTTTTTTTCCTGGAGTAACCCTCCCTTTCTTCCGTGTATGTTTACTACTGTATGAACAAACAAAATTCCAATGTGCCCCATGGCAGGGACATTTGACGCCATTTTCGTGTTTCTTTATGCCATCAATTCAAAGCAACAGTCAGCTGTTAAATCGTGACTAACTATCGCATATCATAGGTTACTGCGAGGAGGCTGGTATGTTTTATGGGAATATAATTTGTGAGAAGTTGCACATGTTGAACACCAGTTGTTAAGTGGTGTTTATTTGAAACGTTAAGCCTTGGTTATATTTAAGTTAAATTAATATTTTAGTTTGCATCGATTCCAATATAAACTACAAATAGTGAGTTGGTGAGTAATTGGGCGTTAACACAGGACGGCGACCTCTGTGCCTTTCGTGTGGGACCATTAAGTTTGCCAGGTCGTCGATGGAGGCCCAAAGGAGGCAGAATGGTTGCCTTGGTCGTTCCCAGGTGGGACACAGGGGGTCAGACATTGCCATGGACGCCATGGTCGCCGTGAATTTTTGAACACGTTTAAAACAGTCGCACAAAGGTTACCGAGGAGGTTGGTTGCTCAAACAAATAGCATGGCCTTTCTACTTTACGAAACATGGCTAAGTCACAGAATGTGACAGGCGATTGGTTAAAACATGTCCAGATTACGTCACTCTCATTTCATTTTTCAACCTCCAATTGTTTCAGGGAAACCAAAATGGTGCTCTCCTTCAGCCAAAAACAAATTCATCCTTCGATTTCCCAAATCAAGTGAGTATTGGCCAGGTTTCCTGGTTGTTGAGACTCTTGATAAGACTCCTCTCCCACTCAACCCGTTTGTAATTTCCGTATATGGCATTGCAGGAGAAATTAAACACATTAAACGCTTGCTCTCAGGATCTCTATTACTCGAATGGTATAGAAAACACCAAGCAGCCCACCTGTTGTCAACATCTGTTGGAGTCCCGGTTCAGGTCTCTCCCCGTAGCAAAGGTATTGTAAGAGACCGCTTACTTGCTGATATGAATGAGCTTGATATTGTTTCTGTAATGAGGGTTCAAAGAGTGACACATGTCAAAAGATTCACAATACGCAAACACAATGAGACTGTTCAAACCAACACATATCTCTCCTCATTTCTCGCCCCCAAATCAATCAAAGCATGTACCTGCAATCTTAATGTTGACATCTAAATTCCTAATCCTTTGAGGTGCTTCAAATGCCAGAAGTATGGACATGGTGTGAATACTTGCACATTGTCTGTTACATGTGCTCACTGTGGTGAAACTACGCATGTAACAGAAGATTGTAACACCAATACCAAATAAATGGACAAATTGCTCAGGTGATCAATCATCTTTCTCCAAAACCTGTCCAATCTGGAAACAGCAAATGGAAAAAGAACAAAATAAAATTCACCAGAATTATTAGTTTTGCCGATGCCAAAAAAACTGTTCACAACTCAGACGCAAAAGATGTTTCCATCACCAGAACATCTTCTGAAACAACCACTAAAGTATCAAATTCCCCAGTAACCAGATCGTCAGTTAACTGTCAAACAGACTTGACATGTGTGAAAACGGAATCTCCTCAGATCTTTTCACCTGAACAGTCAACTCAAATCAAAGGCCATTTTAACACCTCTCGAATATATAAAGTCTTAAAGTAAGGAATTCATTATTTTTTCAGACTTGCTGTCCTGTCTTCAGGCAATATCAAATGCTTTGTGTCAGCATCTTTTGGTCAAGACTGAAACAAAACCATTCAGATAAACTTGTGCGAGACAAAAATGATGCACAGGGTTTGGCATAACCAGCCAGTTGATCAGGCCGGGCCCACCCTTCCAGGCAAAGTAAAGTGCACGTGATACGTTGGGAAAGCTATTGTCGGCTTCAGCGCCATCAACCACCAGACTCCCTTCCACAGGGGCGCAACCCACGGCAAACAGGTTGCCCAATTCGGTCACCTTTTACAACTACCAATGGGGTAGTTTCCACGCAATAGTTTAGCAAAGCGATACCTAAGATGTTTAAACAAGACACTGAAGAACGGATGCAAGACATTTCATCGGTACGAAGTATAACTTTGGCATCTGTAGAGAACTGACCCCTTCAATGAGGATATAAAGAGGACAACAATAGGAGATGAGACAGCTGGTTGAGAAACCGCTCGAATTCAACATGGAGGGACGTCCGTCCTTACAATGTAGCGCCAAACGTTATCACAAAACACGCTCGTCAGTTGACATGGCGGGCGCTCTTCCGGTGAGAATGTAGAATTACTTCCCTTAGACCATATGCATCGTATCAAACAGTAAAGCTTGTGTCGTCTTGAGCATTGTTAGGTTTACAGAGTAGTATATGATGTTAGGATTGACGAGAAGGCACATCTACTGTCCATACATCAACAACTAGCTGTTACTCTATCCTGTCATTCAGTGCGTTTGGGGCACGATGACATGCATCAACCAAGTCAGCGAGCCTGACCACCTGATTCCGTTAGTCGCCGCTTACAACAATCATAGTCGCCTTTTGCAGCAAGCATGGGCTGCTGAAGACCCATTCTCCCCCGAATCTTCACGGGTCTGGTGA